TATGCATCTCGCAAAATCGACAAAAAATAGACTTACGACCATTCTCTGGGACGCTGGCGAGATCCGACACTATACGCAACCGCTCCGAGGTACGACCTTATACGCGGACCCTCTCAAACACGACCTTTTAGTTTTCAGGGGTCGATGTTGTTCCCCAGGTCTAATAACGCATTTCTGGATGGTTAATTTTAGGTCCATTTTTCGGTCGTGCCTTGGGTACCGCGCTCTGAGCCGTTTTCAGAGGGCTGCAGCTTCGTAACCTTGGTGGAACAAAATCCGGCGACCACGGTGGATGGTAGCTAGGCCGTCTGGGAACACCTCGGGAAAAAATGGGATTTTGTTCCAGCAAGGATAAAAATGTCCCGCCCTCCAAAGTCGGCCCAGGGCGTAAGTGGCCAAGACTTTCCGAAAAAGTGTTCCGCCATCTTTTGATATGTTGTTCCGCAGGTCTAATATCGCATTTCTGGATGGTTAATTTTCAGTACTTTTTTTAGAAAAAAATGAAAATTTTGACTAAGTTTTTTTTTCTGGCCAACTTTTTTTCTGGCCAACTTCAGGCAGGTCTCGTCGACGTGTTGTTGTTGATGCTTGGTTGATGTTTACAAACTTGGGTACTACGCCCTTTCTATTTCTTATTTTGTTTCAGGAAAACAATGACGTCCTCAGCCGACACGTCGATGTATTCTGACATGTCAGTGTCAGACATGTCAAACCTATCAATAAGCTGCAGACCTAAGAGGAAAATTAGACCTCCAAAACAAGACTTAGACCATGCTGTATTAATATCTCTTGTGGAACAGTACCCTGTCCTTTGGGATTTCGAATTTCCTGGGTACCACAATCTGGATATGCGTAATGAGGCATGGGATGAAATTGCGAAAAGATTTCATTCTACCACTGGTATTTTCTTGCACTCGCTTATTAACTTTTTCATTATTGGTGTAAAGTAAAGATATGTTGCTCATTCATTTCCTTGATTTTCAGGACAGGATTGCCTAAAGTTGTGGACGACAATTAGGAAGCACCTCTATCAAAATGAAGAAAGGCATAGGAAGGCCACTGCATCTGGATCAAAAGCCACCCGTCACAAGCCTTATGTGTATGCCAAGCAATTGTCATTTCTCAAGAAACTGCGAAATGAACAGGATGAAATAACGGAAGGGAATGGTCGTTCTGCTCTTGATCAGCACTTATCCGAACCCTTGTACACATCTTCCCCTTTGAAAACTCCAAAGCAGGAACTTCAAAGTACCCTCGTATCTTCATCAGTGCTAAATTTGTTTACTTTAGGAACATTTTCATGTATCAGGTTTTGTATGTGCCCATCTTTGACTAAATATTTTTTGTCAGCAGTCTGAACATGCACTGGGTTTTGGATCTCAGCAAATGTCTAGCATATCGCTTGTCCCTATTGCAAAGCACGCAACTCCACGGAGCCTCCGTCAAAGCACGCACAGCGGTCCGGCGCTGGCGAAACCACGCAAAGTTCTTAGGTGCTGGCGAAACCACGTATCGATGTTTTTCAAAAAATCTGAGATAACTATATATTCTGGAAGAGGGAAACGTCCTCTTTCCAACGGTATAGGTCTCAAAAATCACCCCAAAAATCGAGTTGCGTGGTTTCGCCAGCGTCGGACCGCTGTGCGTGCTTTCGCGGAGGCTCCGCGGAGTTGCGTGGTTTCGCCAGCGCCGGAGCGCCGTGCGTGCTTTGCAATAGGGACAAGCGATATGGAACCAATCAACGTTGCTGGAGAAAACTATTGTTAAAAAGGAGAAGAAAGTTGCGGCAAAGGTTAATATATGAAATGTGGTGATCTATCAATAATCCTAACCCATTTTCATTGCATGATGCATTGCTCATACATTTCTGTGGTGTACTTCCAGGTTACACCTTCACCCAAAAAAACTAAAAAGAGAGGAAATAAGGAGTTCAAGGTAATGCCAACAATCGAAGAGACAGATGATGAATGCAATGCTGATGATGTGAGTGTTTTTTTCCCTTTTTCTTTACTCTGAGCAGGAGTCATATGCATATGTGTCTGATGTATTACTGTTTGTTTCTTAGAATGGTCTTCTAAGTCCAAAAAAGGCAAGAAAAATTAAGAGGCAGAAAGAACTACTTGCTAAAAGAGAAGCCCAGACTGCTGCCATCAAAGCCCAAGTCCTCAAGGCACAATCGGAGAGACTATTGCAGCGGCAGAAAACAGCATCCGAAGAAACAGTGACAGTGAAGAGGGAGCAGGGACAATTAGAGAAGCTGCAGCATTATGCAGCATCTCAAGATGTGGATGATACATTTACATACTTTTGTATGTCTCTGGTTGATCCATTGAGGGCATTACCTCTGAACATCTCTAAAGGGCTCCGGGTATCAATTTTAAAACAAATCTTTGAGGCAGCAGAGGATAAAGAGGACCAAGCACGGGATTGTGTGACATTCAGAAAGTCTTGGGCTAAGATAACAGAAGAAATGCAGGTATGGTACCTAAATTTGAATTGTTCACACACCACCATTCTATTTTTATGTTTCTTTATATCATAGAAGTTTACTCTTATGATATTTAATTTGCAGTATGAAATTGAATCCTGCCTTAATGGCCCTGATGACCTGAAAATCATCCGAAAAGAGTACACAAACGATTTGAGGCTGTTGGATCTAAAAACTCTCCGACCTGGAGTATGGATCACTGACACGGTACTTGACTATTTCTTTTTCTTGTCTTATTGTTGTTCTCTGAGGTGCTCTGAGGTATTTCTGTTTCTTATTTCTGTTTCTTTTCCCAGGTCATCAACCAGTACTTCAGACTTGTGGCTGCTGAGTGCCAAACAATGTACCCGTTCAGCACCCATTTCCTTACAAAATTGGCTGGGATCAAAAATGAGGAAGATCAAAGTCACTTGAAGTGGACCAATTCAGTGAGTACTGCTCAATAGCTGTTCCATGTATCAGTCTCTGATAAGAGAATCTAATCTAATATTATTTTGTGATTTATCCTATTAATTGCTGATATTGCTTTCATTCCAGGTTGATATTTTCTCATTTGAAAAGCTTCTTATCCCCATTCATACCAACCAAGGAACTCATTGGGTCTTGTTAGTGGTAGACATAATGTCTGCCTCTTTGAGATACTACGACAGCATGAATGAAGAAAATGACTTGTACCCACAAGTAAGCTCTATTGGGGCATGTTTTTATTAAATTTTTTTACTGTTTTTTCATTCCCTTTTTGTTTAATTTGTAGCTCATTCGGGAGTATCTGAATCTCGAATACAAAACCAAGCAAGGTGTAGAATTGAACTGTGCTTGGCCTGTTGAACAAATGAAGGTAATTTTTTATTCATATTTTCCTATTGCCCCAGAACTTTCATCTTGTTCATTTTATTCTTTTCTTTTTCATGCAGGTTACACCCCAGTTGAATGGGTCTGACTGTGGGATTTTCGTTTGCCTTTTCGGGGAGTAAGAAGCGCGCAATGTCCCTGTAGATTTCACTCAAAGTGATATGCTGTTCTTGAGGAAACGTATAATGTATAGTCTTCTCAGTGGAAGAATTGCATAATTATTTCGGCTATTTTGCGTGTATGTGAGAAAGAATGCAAAAGCGAGTTCTGAATGGTGATATATAGTCCTCTTTCTATGTCATTTGTCCTATCTGTGATGCAATTGCTTTCAAGTGCAATACAGCCTGTAAATATAATAATATTGCATTAATGTTTTTAATATCTGTGAAATGTTTATATGGTTGTTAATTTTGTATGTGCGTCCCTGTGATTTAGAACTTGATTTACTTTACCTATGATATTTTTTGGTCTGCATGGTTGACATGCAAATTTTAAAATAATATATATCTATATTATACTTTTACTATGTCCACTTTACTCAAAGTTGTGTGCTCTGGATAAACATTGATAGTAAAGTCTTCTCAGTGGAGAATTAATTCTCCTAATTTGCCTAATTCATTGTGTGTTTTTCTATTTTAAGTATTTATTGACTGAGCAGAGGTTGTGAGATAAGAAATGTATGTACTAATTTGTTGATTTTGATTTTCCATACAATTGTTCTACTTGACCTTAGTTGATTTATTTTGTGTGCTTATAAGGCTATGTTAAATTTTAAATAATACAAATAGACTTCTCAATATTTTATGAAATGCTTTTTATTGAATTGCAAGGAACCCATTCACAATGTTTTACAGGATATAAACGTAGGCTCATGGAGTGAGAACTGTATTGATCTTATAATAAAAAATAAGGCAATGGAAGGGTCACACAACTTTTACAATTAGAGAAGAAAAAATTCTAACGCTAACGCGTTAATCGGCCCCTGAAGTTTTAACGAACAATCGTATGCACACGAAGAAATAATCATTTAATTAATCACTTCAATAGATTCAGCGTTGAAAATTAGAA